CATGACACGATACAGTTTTCCTCGTTAACCCTTTTCTGACCCCGCGGAGTGAAAGTGCAGACGATGCCCGTTGGACGAACTCTCTCTCTCTTTCTCTCTCCTCCGCTTCCCTTCGTCCTCTCGATCGATCTCCTCGTCCGTAGACGAGACGGAAATCCTTACGAGGTAGGCGAGCCACGAAATGGCCGATAGACGACTTCCGTGGACGGATTGGATCACGCTGCGAACGACACAGAGGCAGTTTGGTGTCCCATTGAAAGGATTCACCCCGCTTCTTCGTTCCACCTATCCTCTTTCTCCAAAGAGGATTTCGGTGGAAATTTCGTGGTCCTTCAGAACGCAGGCTCGTCTGGAAGAACGGCCGTGCACGCGCTAGTAAAGGATTAGATTTTCCCTGGAAAATTCTGGTGTTTGAGGTCGACGCAGGATATTAAAGAGGATGTACCGAGGATTATTACGGGAGATTCTTGTGGCCAGGTTGCTATTCGGCTCGAACGAGTTTTATCGACGATAGGAAGGTTTCGCCGAGGTTTATTCGCGATTCGTGTATATCTGCTTGCACGAATTGTGTCCTATTTTGCAGGAAGGTCGTGTGTGACAGTTGACGAACCTATTTCGAAGCACTTAAGAATATCGATTCTTTTGGAATCTCTGCAATTTGGAGCACTTAAGGATAATGATTTCTTTATTATTTCGTTACGAATTTATTAACGTCTTAACTTTGAAAATGTGTATATATAAGATGTCCGATAATACAATTTGGAGCACCCAAAAATCCCGATATTCTTCGTTCCTTGTTCGTCAATCTTTTCGTTAACTCTCTAATTCTGGAAAGGTGTACGTATAGGGTGTCTCGTAACACAACTTACAAGATAATTTAACAAACACCGCCAATCAGTGTAATATACCTCTGACCCATTGGAACCCGTGAAAAAATCCAGAAAATGAATTTTCCAAGGGTTCGAAGAATTTATTTCGTTCGACGTGTGTTCGTTTCGTTTTGTCCCGCGTTAGTTGGCTTGTTAGCGGGTTAGTGATGAAGTTGCGACCGCGCTGCATCTCGAATGCCGCCTGCCATAACGAGTAACGATTTATGCGTTAATATATCCTCGGACTGTTATACAGCACGGGTAAAACCGCTCGTCGAACTCGATTTTTCCCCCGTTCGATAACGTTTTACCAACGAAAAGTAAGGTAGAAACGACCAGGTGAAACGTCGCCGAGGCAAAGAATCTAGACCGTGTTCGAATAAGAGAATTGTTGCAATCGTTGTGGTTCGACGGTTGTAAATCTAACGAAACTGTAAACGTCGCTGGACCACCTGTAACACACCGCGGTTCCGCGTGCTTCTGACGCATTGATAAAATCAACCTGTTAAACGAGATCCCGCTCTCTCTGTAATTGATTCTGTTATCGAGTTCGCGCCGGCTCTGACTGATGTGTTTTGCAATTCAGGAATTACCCGGGAATATATACATTTAGGCGTCTAAGCCAACCTCCAGTCTGATACTATAATGCGTTTTCGATGCCCACGCGATTAGCTAAGTGCCTAAATGGCTGAGTATTTGCTCCGCCATTATCTTGGATTTTAGTCAGGTAATTCTGAGAAATGCGGACTGTTTGAACGTCCGGTGAGTGTGAAAAGCGATCGAATTATTCTAACAGAATAATTGTGGCATTGAAAAAATAAAAAAGAAGCAAAGTTTTTGGTAAAATGGAACTTTAGAATTCGGCGAAAGTTTGCAACAGGGTGTGTATTTTACAGAATAAAAAAATTATTGCTTTAAAATGTGGGATTTACTTCTCGCGAATTTTCCGGAAAACCGGTATCCTCCGTTTTACTTGGAAAGTGTAATCGAAGAATTAATTAAATATTGTAAGAGTAGAATTAATTTTGTTCTACCGTTCGTATAGGGAATTAAGCAAAACGTGAATTTGCTTATCTTTGAAAATCAAGCTTTCCTTTAGTTTCCTCGAAATCGTTACAGATTCATATTTACATTGTATCTCGCGAATTGATCCACCGAACGTTTGGCTAAACAATCAAGTATTCCAATTGGCACGCGAAGGTGGTTAATCTTTGACCACTAGGAAGTGATATCAGCCTGACAACCCGTAAATACTTAATGAAGTGTGGAAATGCTGCTCGCTCGAAACCGTGGACGCCTCCATTCGTCATTGTGCGCGTACACCGCGGCACCGAATTTATAATCCCACATGTTCATCCGGTATACTTTGCGTGATTCATCGTCTTACGTACGCGCCTGTGACAGATGAGTAACCATCACTTCAAATGAATGTAACGAAACCATTACATCGTCCGTTGTTTCTGATATGATGTTACACGAACATTGATTTTGATAAAGCGAGCAGGGTGAATTTTCGCCGGAGTTACGACGTGTTAATCGAGGGAACGGCGAGGGTTAGGCGAGTAGGGAATTGTAATTAACCCTTTCGCTGCGACAGATTTTAGCGCGCGACGCATGTGTGACGGACGACGAAATCTTTCGTTTTCAAAATTTTTAAACGAAAGTGGAAACACGCGAAGAATGAGAACGAAGAAGCGCTAACCGCACAGTGCGAGAAAATATTCAAAGCGCGTGTAGCCGTCAAGGGCGCAATGCGAGACAATTTTTCAAACGTTCGTAGGCGGTTAAATAATGTTAAATGTAAGAAAAAAAATTCTTTTTTTTGAAACGCCGCGTATAGTTCGAGGACCGCAAAATATTATAGATGGCGCTAGAAGTGCAGGTGATCTTTGAAACTACCCTTAGGTGGAGGAAGCTGTATTTGAAAGATAGCGAGGAAAATAATTATTAGTTGGATATAAATTTCTCAAGTCAACATAATTCTGTGTTTCGTATCAATGAATAAGGTGAACGATGTCTCGAGTGGCAGAAAAAAAAAAATGGTAGTTTCGACTGTGTGTAAGAAGTCAGACAACTTTTTCTGACAGTGTTCCCAATTCATTCACATCGGGTCGAGTATTGTTACATGTTTACATTCCTACGGCTGGAAGCGATATATCGTAACGTGTTAAAGTTTCTGGATCGCGTAGCGTTAGGTGTTAATGTTTCTAGATCGCTCCGGCTGGAACCTTAGCGATACGTGTTAATAACTTTTGCCAATATCACTGACAGACTTTTAACCATTATCGGTCACGAAACTTGGATAACGTAGAAGCACTGCGAGATATTTAACACTCGGATGTTATTATCACTCGCTATATATCCCCCTTATTAGATAGGTGCAAAACTAACGGGTCTGATCTCCTTTTCACGACTTTGTCCTCGACACTTCTTTTCTCGCTCTTCGATTTTTTCAATTTGTACAATTTTCGACACTTTTCTCACTCTGTTATTTTTCAAATTTAAAATTTTGTAATTTAAATAATTGAAAAATTGGGAAACTTGAAAATTGAAAAATTTGTGAAATTTGTAAATCTTTCAATATTTCTTTCACCAAATTAAAGTGCGTAAAGCATAAAAAGACAAACTTAAACTGAAAGAGCGCCAGTAGTCAAAATTTTCCCGTCAAAAAGCAAAATTCCCCTTCAAAAGAAAATCCACAATCGTCCTCCAACTCACTCACCACCCAGAAACCACAAAATCCTCTCTCTCATCCTCCTCAACAGCAGCCGTGAAAAAACCTTCCAAGACAGCCTCGCCCCCAACCCCCACTCTCCTCGCTGGAGCTGCATAAAAACACGCGTGTTACAAATGGACAGCGGTGGGGCAAAGGACAACAAATCACAGGGGTTGTCCGGTGGAACGCGAAAGAACAGGAGGAACATGGCTCAAGGTTCGTCGCCTATTAAACCGGCGACAACCCCCGTTTCAAGCGCTCGTCGAAGGTAAAGAAGCCCGAGGGGTGGGGATGAAGGGAAGAGTCCTCAGTTATACCGGGGAGAGAAGCCGCTTGATAAATGCGCGCTCGTACGCCTAGGAACCAGTTTGGTGTTTACCTAGTAAGTAGTGTTGTCAGTCAGCTGGTTTGTTGCATCTTCGCCGAGGCAGCCGCCCGTGGCGCAAAACGCTAACACAC